TCCGCCTCCTCCTCCTCCTCTTCGTCCTCCTCCTCTTCCTCCTCCTCCTCCTCCTCCTCCTCCTCCTCCTCCTCCTCCTCCTCCGCCGGAGCAACAGGCCGACGACGACCCCCATGCGCTGCGCGCGGGCCCCGCGCCGCGCGGCGGGCTCCCCCGCGGCCGCGATTGGACGGGGCTGAGCGAGAGATGAGCATAAAGATGGGAGGAGGAGGAGCAGGAGGAGGAGGAGGAGGAGGAGGAGGAGGAACTGAGCGATGCGAGGCGGGGAGGAACAGATGGAGGAAGAAAGCCCCGAGGCAGCGAGCAAGACGCGGTCAAGACAGCCGAAAGACGCATCGGAAGTAGATAAGGCACAGAGGAAGAGAGAAGGGGCGAGGGGGGGGAAAGACAAATCGTGAAGATCTTTCGCGCGTGTGCCAGACCACAGGTTTACACGGGCAGTGGACCGGGAGCGGCATGGCAATACATGTGACCAGACCAGAGATTGGCAAACGCATGAGACAAAGCTCTGCGCAAGCACAGACTGGACGCACAAAGACATACTATGACTATGCGCCCCATCTCGTGGATGCGCACCTCCGAACCAAACACGTAGCACGACCATTCTGCAGCATAACATTTCCCAGGCGGCAGTGCCCAGAGGCGCCTACAACCGAGCATATTCTACAGTATGTCTGGACGCGCGCGTCGCCCTCTGGGTGCCAACGCACACATCGTACAATCAGGTTTGGGTGATGCCGAACATACTTCCAGAGGCCCGCGCGAATTCAATGGGTCGGCGCTGGGACCTCCCCGCCCGCCCTCCTGGCGCGCGGAGCGCGTCGGCACCGATCCAAGAAAAGCGCGTGCGTGCGCTTATGTCGATGCTTCCTCCTCTTCGGAAAGACAAAATTGGTAGGGCTGAGGATCACGAGCAGCATCAGAAAACGTCGAGTCGGGAAATCGGATCGAGCCGGGAGTTCTGTCGGATCGGGCTGCGCATCGGCTCGGAACCGGGGTCGAATCGGATCGGCCGCGCCTGGGTGCCCAACAGCGCCACGCGAACGTCGAGCCGCATCCGATCGTCATAAAATCGAGGTCGAATCGAAAAGGACAGCCCGGAGCCGACGTCACGTCGGCTCGAACCAGGCCCCGGGGGCGACAGCGAGGGAAAGCGAGGAGGAACAGCAGCACCGCCCCCGCCAACAGCTGGACGGCGACGGCGAGGACGACGGTGGCGGGCCCACCGGAGAGGCCGCGCAGAGGAGGGGCCGAATGGGAGCAGGCGGCCCAGGATGGGGCCCTCCTTGCCGGACGGGCACCTGGGCGGCGCGCGGGCTCCCGCCGCTCCGCGGGCCGTCGCTCTCGGGGTCGAGGCCGCATGAGGCCGCCGAGCTGAAGCCGCGGAGGTCGGAGGAGCCCCGGCGGGTGCCGAGCTTGGCACCGGGGAACTATTCGTGCTCTATTATTTTTTCCAGAGATGCTTTCTCCTCGCTCCTTCTTCTCCTCCACCTCCTTTTCCACGAGACCGCGCCCTCGCGCGCGCAATGCGAGATTGCCGCGCCAGCATTGCACGAGGACGCTCTACGAGTTCCCGGCGGTAACCAAGGTTGACGGTTCACCGCCGGCTCCCATTGAAGCCGCGGAAGTCGGAGGAGCCCCGGCGGGCGCCGCGCTTGGCACCGGGAACGGCGCACTTGCGCTCGTCGACGTCGTCGACCATGAAGTTAAACTCAAGGGCGTTCGGGGTGGGCTGCAACGACGAGCCCTGATGATCCTGAAGAGGCGCATGTAGAAGTGCCAACGCAGGAAGCGAGGTCGCCGCGTCGGCGGAGAGGTGGAAGCGGGTTCGATGCAGTTCTGGCAAAAGCTCCCAACGCCATCGCGCCCAACATCAGAAAAGACTGGCGATGGCTGGGCGCGCCCATTGGCCTCGGCCAGTGGCGGGGGGGCTCGGAGTCTGAATCTCCTGCCGCACCTCTGAAACCGTTCTCTCAGTGCGCGCCGCGTCTAGGAAACTGCGAAGACGCAGGCTGAGGAAGACGCGGGGCGTCTGGCCCCTGAGATGTTCGCTGTGACTGCGAAGGAAGGTACGTCGCTGCTCCAGCTCTTGCTCAGAGAGGGCCCGCAGCTCGTTGGCCATGGCCCCGCGCTCGTCACTGCCGAGTGCCCTAATATCAGCACCGCAACTCCTTAGCCGGCGCGCGCAACAACTCGCCGCGCGCCTCGTCGCCGGCGCGGTCGACGAGGCGGTCGAAGAAAAGCCGCTGTCGCTGGGGGCGCACGTTTGGAGCGCGCCACTCTCCATCCAATGCCGTCGACTATCTAGAGACTCATCCCGGCACATGAGCATCGGAAGCTCGGGCTCAACTGCTCGGACAACCCGAGGACAATCCAGTGCATCGCCGTTGTCGCGGGCGCGGCCCGAAGAACTCTGCCCTGCTTCGACAAGCATGAGCGACTCCCCGCCATCATCAATGACTTCGCCACGACGTCGAAGACCGCGCAGCGTCGCGGCGACGAGCGCGCTCTGAAGCCGCTCCCTGGCAGGCCCCCGCCCGCCGAAAAGAAGCGAAGGCGAGACCGCGCGCGCGCTGGCGAAGCGTGGAGTTGACCGCGAGAAAGGCTGCCGCTGCCTGGGTCCTTTTTGTTTTGCCTCTGGGGGGCTCCAGGGGGCTTCTTCGGGGCGCCGGCGAAAAACTGCCGGAAGCCGGCGAGCGCCCAAGACGGCCGGCGGCGAGAAATCTACTGCTGGACCACGCGGGGAGCAGCGCGCCTCAGAAGATGTACCGGGGGAAGACGCGGCGATGATGACGAACAGAGCCTTGATGAAAGGACCTCCAAACCATCAGCGCAGGCAGATCTTGCGCGCCATCCTCTCGATCCATGGCGATCTACATATTCGCGGGCGGCGGCGGGCGCCCAGAAAACCAGCCCGGCCCGCCGGCCGAGCTGCCAGCATAGGGGCGCCGGGTGGGATGCGCGGCGCCTCTCGGAGGCGTCCTCGGCTTCTTTCTGGGCGCCCGAGTTATCCGGGGTAACTCGGGCCCGGGGTAACTCGGGTTTGGATTCCCGAAAAAGGAGCCCGAGTTAGCCCTGACCCGAGTTACCCCTGATGATGTGGGGCTCTGGACGCCCGAATTATCCGGGGTAACTCGGGCCCCGGGTGACTCGGGTTCGGATTCCCGAAAAACGAACCCGAGTTAACCCTGACCCGAGTTACCCCTGATGATTCGGGGCTCTGATCTTCCTCCGTTGTGGACTTCTCCCCGGTTCCCAACTCCTCCCCAGCTCCTCCCTCTTCCTTTGTAGAACCCCCCCCGATTCCAGCTCCTCCCCAACTCCTCCTTTTCCCTTTGTAGAAGCCTCCCCAATTCCCAAGTCCTCCCCAACTCCGGAAGCGTCCCAACGCACTCGCGCGCCTCACCGCCGCCCCATCCCGGCACTCGGCCGGAAGCGCGCCCACGTCCGCCATGCTCCTGCTTCGCGACGGTGCAGAAGATGCCCCAGACATGTAGCCAAAGTCCACCAGGGAGCGTCGCAAATGGAGCCGTCAGCCTTCCCAGACCCCCGACGTCATGATTTTTTCATGACGTCGAACCCCCGAGGTCTCGACCCATTCCCCGGGGCCGGCTTTTCGTCCTGAGTCGTTTTTTGACGCTCCCGAGGGCCGGTAAGGGCCCCCAAAGGCCAAAAATAATGAAAAACCTCCCGTCGTGATTTTTTCATAACTCGAGGGGGTCTGGGTTGCGCGCTGCAGGATGAAGTACGGCCGCTCCAGGAGCATCACCATGTAGGGAAAGCACTCGTCGATGCAGTCGCCGATGTCCTGCCAGACTTCTCCGTCTGTCATACAGGCGATCTCCCAGGCGTTCCAAAACCAGCCTCGCCCTCTGAGCATCAGGGGAAGGAAGGCCCCGTGGAGGAAGTTTCCCCATGAACCGACGCATGGGGCAGCAAATCGCGACCAGCACTGCACGCCGCCAGATCATACTCGCCCAGCGGACCCCATTGCATAAGCGCCGAATCAACGCCTCCCAGCTCCACGCCAGGAACCGCCGAGACACCCTCCTCCTCCGCAACATCACTCAGCTCTTCGTCGGACATGTGCCCGACGGAAGGCGACACGGTAAAACCTTTGGCAAGTCCAGTGGAAGAACCAGATGGCTGGGGAGCATGTAGCGGGAACTGCGAGGCACCATCACACTCTGGGAGCGCTGGAATGCCGCTTCCTTCGTGCACTTGCAGAACCTCAGCTGTAACGCTTCCGTCCTCGGGCAGCAAAAAACACCAAAGTCACCACCCCCTGTCCAAGTTGGAATATGCTGTGATTGCAGAAGCGGGTGGGTGTTGCTGCACTGCCCCGTGGTCGCAGAACCAGCAGGTGGATCCTCCTCGTCCTGCATGCGACCGATGCCGGCGTCCGCCAGTGATAGGAAGCGTTGCTCCACATGCTGGTCGGAGCAAACGCCATATGAGGTGAAAGAGATCCTGTCGTCGCTTCCCTCAGCGATCCGCAGTAAATCGTCCCCGTCGTGGTGCCTGGCGAAGCTGGTGGTTGGCAACGGGGCGTCCTTCGGCACAGAAAACAATTTCTTGAAGAGCTGTTGCCGAGTCGATGGTGACATGCGCGCATTCTTAGCCTGACAGCACCGAATCCCCAGACCCTCATACGCAAAAGTAGAAGCCAAGACCCGCCTGCTATGCCCTGGATGCTCGCGAGCCTCAGCGGACCGATACCACGCTGCATCACAAATATCCAAGGCAAGCTGCCCGCGAGCGCGAGGGCCAGGGCAGGTGCCAGAGTCGAAAGAGGCCCTCGAGAAATAAGTGCCTCAGCACGCCATCGAGATACTGAGTACGCCACCCTTCTCCAATCCATGAAGTCTGGGCAGGGGGGGTCCATGAAGTAAACTGTCGGTAGCCAGCCACGCGCCCAACCGCATGAACAGGGCAGAAGCACGTCTTCGGCCAGGACCGCACCGGACGGGGCGCGAGGCGAGGCTTCGCGACTGCTGGCAGCGCCGGAGACGGAGCTACCCAGAGGTGCTGCAAAACTGGCCATCGCGCTAGCTTGGACCAAAGCTTGGAGGAAGAGGAGGAGGACAAATCTGAGGAGGAGGAGGAGGACACGAAGCCCAGGAGGAGGAGGAGGAGGAGGAGGAGGAGGAGGAGGAGGAGCAGGAGGAGGAGGAGGAGGAGGAGGGCAGCAAAGCGTGGAGGAGAAAAGGGGGGGGGGGGGGAAGCGGAGAGGCGAGACGAGAGGAGAGGGGGGGAGGGCAGGGGAGAGCCCAGAAAGGGAAGGGGAGCAGAGAGGGGGACGGGGGAGAGGCAGGCAGGGAAACAAGAGGGAGTGGCCCACGGAGGCGGAGGGGGCGCCCACGACTGGGAAGGGCACGACCGCAGTCGCATGCAGAGCGAACAAAAACGAAAACGGGCTGGGCGGAGAGGAGATCGTCGAGCTCCTCGTCCTCGGCGACCCCCTCCCCTTCCTCCACCTCTCCTCCGCCGCCCTCCCCAGCCCCGTGGCCCCGTCCTTCGTGAGGTCGGGGAGGGGAGGGGAAAGGGGGGGGGGCACGGAGGGGAAGGGAGCGACGGAGAGGGCGGAGGGAGAGAGAGAGAGGAGGCAACTGGCACGTGCGACAGGGGGCAGGGGACAGCTGGCCGACGCAGCCAGCCTCCACGAAGAGCTCTCGGGCCTTCGCTTCTTCGGCCGTGGTGCAGGGGCCGCCCCGGCGGGTGCTGGCCGGTGCGCGCGGGCGGAGCACGGCAGGAGGGTTAGCTCGAGCGAAGGAGCATGGCAGGAGGACGGGAGGAAGATGAGCAGTCCTCCTCCTCCTCCTCCTCCTCCTCCTCCTCCTCCTCCTCCTCCTCCTCCTCCTCCTCCTCCTCCTCCTCCTAGGGGAGCAGGGGAGAAGGGGGAGAGCAGGAGGAGCAGACGTGGAGTAGCCTGGGTCGCGCAGACCCGTCCGAGACAGGGGCCAGCGCGAGAGCGCCGTCAGAGGCACGGCCTCGCCGTGGTCGAGCAGTGGGCCGAACAAAGAGAGGCCCGACCGAAGATTGACCGCCGCGCGAGGAGCCCGAGGGGCGGAGGGGAGGCAGACGAAGGGCCCGAGAGCGACGGAGGCCTCCGAGAGGCACCCGGCGCGACGCCGAGCAGCACCTTCCGAGAGGAGTCGCCACCGTGCTCCCGGGCACGCCGAGGCGCAGCAGAGTGCACAAAGGCTGTGTGTCACGGTCTCTGTAGTCCTCCGAGGTCCCCTCGGGAGCGGCCAAGAGGGGGGTGTCCAAGAGGGGGGGCTGCAAATCATGACCGGCGGCATGTGCGCGGCCCAGCGGGGGGGCCAGGGACGTAATGGAATAAGAAGAGGCGCCATGAGATCTGGGGAAATATCATGGCCCACGCCACGATCTCCCCCCCCCTAGTCATCACCCCCCTCTTTTCCGCCCCTGATCCCCTCTCTCCAGCCTTAATACCCGGTGCAGCCCGCCTATGCCGGGGCCACGATGCTCTCAGGCAGCACTGGCCGCGCGCCAGCACGAGCCCCTGCGATCGATCCGCGCGCCCGGAGCTTCCAAGACGCCGAGGCAGGCAACCTAGGCCGCGCCGCCGGATTCTCTCCCTCTCTCTCCCTCCTCCTCCTCCTCCTCCTCCTCCTCTCTCGTCCTCCTCCTCCTCCTTCCTCCCTCCTTCCCTCCTCCCCTCCTCCTCCTCCTCCTCCTCCTCCACCTCCACCTCCTCCTCCTCCTCCTCCTCCTCCGCCTCCTCCTCCTCCTCCTCCTCCTCCTCCCCCTCCTCCTCACCTCTCCTCCTCCTCCTCCTCCTCCTCCTCCTCCTCCTCCTCCTCCTCCTCCCTCCTCCTCCTCCTCCCACCTACTCCTCGTCCTCGTCCTCGTCCTCGCCCGCCCAAGATGCCTCCAAGACGGCCCAGGATGGCCCTAAGGCGCCCCCAGAGGCCCCCCCCAGACGGCTCAAGAGGGCCACGAGAGGATCCCCAGCGCAGCACGGCAAGACCAACGTCACTCATGCGATCTAGGCTTGTCTTTCGACTCGGGCGTCTTCGCTTTTTCGGGCGCCCTGCAGCTCCAGAAGTCCCTGGAGGCCTCCTATGCGGCCCCAAAACGGACCGAGAAAGCTCCAGCAGGATCCAACAATCTCCCAAGACTGCATAGAAAGGCAGCCCCACAGGGCCCCTGACGGCCCAGGACGGCCCCAAAAGAGCCCCAGACTGGCCCAAGAGGGCTTCCGGAGGGACCCACGACGGCCTCAGAGGGCCCCTCGACGGCTCCAGGCAGCCCCAGGACGGCCCCACGACGGCCGCGAGAGACCCCCCAGACGGCCAAGATGGCCCGAAGACGGCCCAAGAGAGGCCCCAGATGGCCCAAGTGGGCCCCAAGACGGCCCAACAAGGCCCCCAAAGGACCCCCAGGCTGGCCCGCAAGAGCCCAAGGCGGCCCCACCAAGACTGCCCGAATGGGCTGCGCGAGAGCCCCTGAGAGAAGCGAAGACGAAAGATGCCACATGTGACGGCCTTCGCTGCTCGAAGCTTCACCGCCGAACGGGCTGAGCTGGCACGGTGGCGGGGCGTGCCGCAGATGCCTGGATATGTCCCACTCCTCCCATCCATGAAGGGAGAGACGGTGGGAGGGGAAGAAGGAACATGAGGAAGATACGAGGAGTATAGGACGAGGGTAGGAGGGGGAGAGGAGGACGCATCTTCGAGCTGGCAATAGTATGCCCCAGGGCCTGCCAGACCTAGAAGAAGAGAGCGCGGTCTGCTCGCCTGTCAGGGCTATGACCAAGAAGGCCCTGGCCTCACATACCTAGGTCCAGTAGCGGCAAACAATCAACTTGAACGAACGCTGTGACAGCCGAGAAGTTGCATCCCCGTGCGCATTCAAGGGGATAAGACACATGGGCCAGCTTCATGGAATCTGCTGAAGACACGCAGGGCCAGAACGAAGATAGAACGCCTCCTAGTGATCGGAGCAGCTACGCATCCTCTAAGCCAGGCGCAGACATGATGACGCCACCTCCCCTGTGGTATCCGCCGTTGGCACCGTGGCTCTCGCATCTTATATGCCAACAATACTCCCCGAATACATACTCCGTATTACTAGATACTCATATTTGCCACCTGCCTGCCCGGTCGATAGCCATCCCATCTGGGAAGAACCATCCAACCCATCAGAACAATAAAGCATGTCAACGCGCTTGCCCTGACCATGGACGTTCGACCGCCCGTGCTGCAACATGCGTGGCAGGAATTGGGCGCGGCGCACATCGCGCGCGCGCGAAAGGGCGACATGGCGCTTTCGCCTCGGCGACGCGCTCGTTTTCCCTGGGAGCCGAGCTCCCGCTCGGGGCTGGCGCAAAGCTTCCGCTCGCCGATCCGCCGCCGCGCGGGCGGACGAACACGTCGCTATCGCCCCAGGCGCCGCGCACGCTTCAGCTGAAAGTGGGATCGCCCGCTTCGGCACGGCGCACGTGCCTCTGTTGAAGGGGCCCTGGGACACACACACACACACACACATACACACACACACACAAACACACACACACACAAACACACGCACGCACGCACGCACGCACGCACGCACACGCACACACACACACACACACACACACACACACACACACGCACGCACACACACACAAACACACACACACATATATATATATATATATATATATACATATATATACACAAATCACAGGATTCCCCATGTTTTCCCAGATCTTCTGGGTGTCTTGTCTTCCCCCCCACTTCGGGAAGTCGACGATTCACTGTGTCTGTGTGTTTTGTTTTCCCTCCCGAGGAGCGCCCGCGTCGGCACGGCGCACGCGCCTGCCTCGGCGGGGCCGCGCCGGAGCGCGACGCCCTTCGCCCCCCGCGCGAGCGGCGCGCGCCGCTCCCGCCCGAGAGAGTGGCGCTCCAGAGCGCGGGCGCCGCGCTCACCCGCGGCGCGCGCTCCTCCGCCCCTCCTCCTCCTCCTCCTCTCCTCCTCCTCCTCCTCCTCCTCCTCCTCCCTCCTCCTTCCCCCCTCCCCCCTCCTCCCTCCCCCCTCCCCCCTCCTCCCTCCACAATTACTCAATATGAAATACTCTCCCTCTTCCCGTGATGGCGTCCGGGTGATGGCCGCGCACCCTCCGCGTACTGTTTTTTTACACACAGGATTCTTGGGAAATCCCGGGAAACGACTCTCGCTGAGGCGCCGGCGTCATTTGTTCCCAAAATGCTGCTCTCGTTGAGGCGCCGGCCTCATTTCTGCTCCCGAATCGTTCCGAATCGTGCTCCCGCTGCAGCGTGGGCCTCATTTTCGGATCGGTGTTTGGCCTCCGTCGTTCAGGATGGCGTTCTCGCCCAGCGCGGGCCTTTTTCTCGCGCGCCCATCCGCCCGCCACCACCGCGCCACACCGCCACCACCACCACCACCACCACCACCACCACCACCACCACCCACCACCACCACAACCACCACCAGCACCAAGCACCGATTAACCAACACCACGAACCCAGCACCACCACCACACTCACCAGCACACCATACCACCACATCATCACCACCACCACCACCACCACCATACCACCACCCAACCACCCCACCGCGCCCCCCCCCCCCGCACCACCACCACCACACCACGACACCCACCACACACGCACGCACGCACGCATGCGCACCACCACCCACTACGCACGCGCGCGCGGCGCCACAGGTCCGCTACGACACGCGTCCGCGGATAGAGAAAATCAGCGCCATGGTAAGGGATGGGAGGGAGGGGTAGGACGTCAGATATGACGCGAGCGCACCTAAAAAAAAACTTAAAAAGCTTGTCCCTCCCTCCCCTCCCCCTCCCCCTACCCACTCCCCCCTGCCCCTCCTCCTCCCTCCCCCCCCTCTCTCCTCCTCCTCTCCTCCTGCCTCCTCCTTCTTCTCCCTCCTCCTAACTCCTCCTCCTCCCTCCTCCACACTTTACTTCAATTGAATTACTCGCCCTCTTCCCTGATGGTCGTCCCCGGGTGATGGCCGCGCGCGCATCCTCCGCGTACTTTTTTTTACACCGGGTGCCCCGGGAATCCCGGGAAACACTCTCGCTGATGCGACCGGCCCATTTTTTCCAAATGCCTCTCCTCTCGTTTAAAAAAAAAAAAAACAAAGCGCGTGCGCGCCGGCCTCATTTCTGCTCCCGAATCCTTCCCCGGATGGCGTCCGGGTGATGGCCGCGCACCCTCCGCGTATTGTTTCTTTACACACAGGATGCCCGGGAAATCCCGGGAAACGACTCTCGCTGAGGCGCCGGCGTCATTTTTTCCCAAAATGCTGCTTTCGTTGAGGCGCCGGCCTCATTTCTGCTCCCGAATCGTTCCGAATCGTGCTCCCGCTGCAGCGTGGGCCTCATTTTCGGATCGGTGTTTGGCCTCCGTCGTTCAGGATTGCGTTCTCGCCCCAGCGCGGGCCTCTTTCTCGCGCGCCCATCCGCCCGCCATCACCGCGCCGCACCACCACCACCACCACCACCACCACCACCACCACCACCACCACCACCACCACCACCACCAACACCACCACCACCACCACCACCACCACCACCACCACCACCACCACCACCACCACCACCACCACCACCACCACCACCACCACCACCACCACCACCACCACCACGACAACCACGACAACCACGCACACACGCACGCCACGCACGCACGCACGTGCACCACCACCCACTACGCACGCGCGCGCGGAGCCACAGGTCCGCTACGACACGCGTCCGCGGATAGAGAAAATCAGCGCCATGGTAAGGGATGGGAGGGAGGGGTAGGACGTCAGATATGACGCGAGCGCGCCTAGCTTGTCCTCCTCCCCCTCCCCCTCCTCCTCGAGCACGAACGGCACTGCGTCCCCCCGCCCCCACGCCGCGCAGCAGCTCGTGCCCGCATCGACGAGCGCGTGCCACTGCTCGCGGGGCAGCTGCTCGCAAGTGGCCCCCGGATCCCCCGCGGAGGATCGACGACGCATGGCATCAGAGCGGGCACGTGTTTTTGTTCGGACGTCTGCGAGTAGGCACCTTGCGAGCAGTGGGGCGCGCTCGGTGACCGAGCGTGGCATGGCTGCCTTCGGCGCGCGGCGAACACCTCGCCCTCGCCGGGCGCACGCGGCACCCGACACCGCCCGAGAGGGGGGGAGGAGGAGAGAGCGTGTGTGTGAATGTGGGTGCTCTCTCGCCGCAGCGCCGCGCGAGGGCCTGTCGTGAAGCTCCGTCCTCCCGCCCGTGCGCGCCCCGCAGCTCCCCCCCCCCTTTTACCTCGCCGAGTCCTCGGAAGGAGGCACCGCGCGCGAGCGCGCTGCGCTCGCTCGGCGAGAGCGCGCTGCGGTCCCAGCATCAAGAGTTGAGGAGAGAGGAGTGGGGCGCGGCGGGCCCCCCCGACTCGTTCGACCCGACCGACTCGATCCTCGTCAGAGTCCTGCTGCTCCTCCTCCCCCTCCCCGTCCGCACAATCATCGCCACCACCGTCGGACCCTTCCTCCGCCCCGCCTTCCCCTGCCTCCTCCCATCCCGCCATCTACGCTTCACACCTTCCCCTCCTCCCAGCCCGAAGGTGGTGGTGGAACACGGGCCCATCCTCCTGTGGTCCTACGCGCCGGTGCGAGGCTCGGCCGAGGCGGCTCCCGAGAGACGAAGCAAAAAGCGGCGCCTCGAACCCCATCGTCAGGGTGAGCGTTCCCCCCCCCCCATCCTCCCCTCCTCCCATCCTCCCCCCATCCCCTCCCTCCCTCCTCTACCTCCTCCCTCCTCCTCCTCTCCGCCCCCATCCTCCCCTCCTCCCATCCTCCCCTCCTCCCCTCCTCCCCTCCTCCTCCCATCCTCCCCTCCTCCCATCCCACCCGCCTCGTTCCCTCATAAACAATTCCTTTCATCTACACCACCACACCTGCCGTTGCCAGGGCGGGCCAGGCGCTCCGCCTGCGATGGCACAAAAAGAGCCCGGCTGTGGTACAGTCGGGGCGTTGACCTAAGGAACGGCAAGTAAGGAACGAGGCCCCATGTTCCCACAAGTTGAACGCAGATTTCCCATGGAAAACCTCAGGAAGACCCAAGGGGCACTGTAAATCAACTAAGGAACACGGAGCCCCTCCCAAACGAAAAGGGTTCCTTCTTCAGCGGCCCGACTGTACCCACCTTCATTCCCGGCAAACCTGTGGTCTAAAGAACGGGTCCAACTATACCTACAACACCATTCGGACACATGTCAGGACCCTTCCCCAGCTCCACTGCCCAGGAAGGGCAATCAAAACCACCGTTACCCACACCAGGGGGGTTCCTGCGAAAAACTCAAAAGGTTGAAAAGGAGACGGGTTTGCCCAAAGCTGGCGGCGGCCCCCAGGAGGCGGGTTCAAGAAAAATCGCAGGTGAGTGAAAGGCGAACGATTTTTCCGAAGTTGGCGGCGGCCCCCAGGGTGGGTCGCCGCCATAAATCGGTCTGGGGTGATACGGCTGATGGAACAAATCAGGCAACACTCCCCCCTTCCCCCCGCAATTCAAAGTTGGCACGTATACGCATCACTGGTCCGACACTCAAACTCGGAAGATCCGGGCCCAACATTGCATTCGGGGGAAGGGGGAGAGTTCACACCATATGTTATGCGTGAGTGTGCCTAATTGTTTCTGACATACCACCATTGCGATCGGCTGAACCCCCTGCTGCGGAAGATGCTCGAAGGACGCGCGCAGGGGAACCGACCATCGGCGGCGAGTTCTGGTCCGCGGTGGCGTCGAAGATCCTGGGCCGACGTGCGCGTCGCCTCCCGCATCTCCACACCCGAACGATCGAGACCGAGTCGGAACTCCTCCTGGCAGATGGAGCACAGGAACTCAACGCCCAGAGGAAGCCCCCCAGCTCGTCATCGGCCACAGCAGCCATGCGCAGCGGCTCGGCAGAGAATAGGAGGCGCCATAACTCGCCTCCGCGCGCCTCCGAGTGGTGAGGTCATCAGTGGGCCCACGGTGGAGACAAGGGAGCGCACGGATGTACACACAGGCGCACGGGGTGGCCTCACGCGGGACACCAGCGAAAAGCAGCGTAGCCCTCAGTGTAATCTGCACCCCAGACGCTTTATACAACTTGGGCCAAAATTGCCACGAAGGAGCACACGGAGGCATCCAGCGGTCAGTCGTACGGGATGGCGGGCAGCTCACTGGTCTAATTCACGTCGAAGGTCACCTCGCCGAGGGCCGTCTTGCGGAGATGGCCAGTGCCGCGACGACGGACGAAGACGCAAAAGCAGCGTCTGAAAGATGAGGCTCAGTGCCACCAGCGTGTAGCAGTCGTTCATCATCCTTTCGAGGTGATCGATCTGCATTTGAGCACGTGCTGGTCGCACTCTGAGGCTCACGTAGGCGGGAATGCTCAAACGTGGAGGGGCCACCGCCACGATTGCCCAGAGGGGGCACCAGGGAAGGCTGGGTCGGAATGCCGGCAAGGTGAGGAGAAGGAGCGCTCGTAGCAGCAGGTTCCATGCACCCAGGCTGGCGGCCACGCGGGGCCGCAGGGTTCCGAGAACATGGTTCTCGGAGTGCGTCGACTTGCACAGAGAATAGGGCACGTGGGCACGGCGACCAGGTGGTGCAAAGGATGCCCCGACTGCAGCCCATCATCATCATCCTCGTCCAACCCCTCCTCGTCCACGTCCTCCTCCTCCTCCTCCTCTCCTCCTCCTCCTCCTCCACTCCTCTCCTCTCCTCCTCCTCCTCGCTCCTCCTCCTCCTCCTCCTCCTCCTCCTCCTCCTCCTCCTCCATACCTCCTCCTCCTCCTCCTCCTCGCCTCCTCCTCCTCCTCCCCAATTACACAATATGAATACTACTCTCCTCTCTCCCCTGGTGACGTCCGGGAAATGGCCGGCCCCCCTCCGCGTACTGGTTTTTACAAACAGGATTCCCAGGAAACGGCTTGTCGCTAGATTGTTCGCAAAATGCTGCTCTCGCTGAGGCGCTAGCTTTATTTTCGGGCCACCGCTCGTTCCGAATCGTGTTCCCGCTGCAGCGCTGGCCTCGTTTCCGCGCTTCCGCTCGTTCCGAATCGTGCTCCCGCTGCAGCGCTGGCGTCATCACTTCCAGCGCCATGCCACGGCATGGTATTCGGTTTTTCCAAATAGGCTCCAAAATATAGAAAATGCCTCCCCGAAAAAAACATGGGAAGTGATTACACATTCGGTGTCGATCCGTTGTTGTTTGGGTCGCAGACACCCCCCACTTTGGGGCATCGCCACGCCATGCTATGTCAGACTCTGCGTCCTCCGAGTCGTGCTGCCGCTGCAGCGCTGGCCTCATGTCCGCGCTTCCGCTCGTTCCGAGTCGTGCTCCCGCTGCAGCGCTGGCGTCATTATTTCCAGCGCCATGCCACGGCATGATTTCGGTCCTTCCAAATAGGACCCAAAATCTAGAAACCATCGGAAGTGATTCCACATTCGGTGTCGATTCGTTGACCTTCCGCAGAAGCCCCCCGTCCCACTTTGGGCGTCGCCACGCCATGCTATGTCATGCTACGCGTTGATCTTCAACACCACGCTATGCCATGTAAGGCTATGCCATGCTGCATGCTACGACATCCGACTGTGCGAATTGAGAAGAGATCTACGCCATGGTAAGGGGTGGGAGGGAGGGCTAGAACGTCAGATATGACGCGAGCGGACCTAGTTTGTCCTCCTCCTCCTCGCTCCTCCTCCTCCTCCTCCTCCTCCTCCTCCGCTCCTCCTCCTCCTCCTCCTCCCCCTCCTCCTCCTCACCTCCCCGCTCCCCATCCCCTCCCCCTCCCCCTCCCCCTCCCCCTCCCGGGGCTAGCGGCGGGCTGGCCCTGAGGCGATGCGCGCGCGCCCTCTCAACCTCACGAAAATTAGTGATCACCTCAGCTTTGTTCGCGAAGGCCAGCGCTGGGACTCTGACCTTGAGTGCGGCCTCGCGCGCCACGCGTCGATCTGGCGAAAGATTTTTAGGCTGTCTGAGTGGTCGGGTTCACGGCCGTCGATGGTCTGGACTCCCGCGAATCGGTCGTTAGAGCAACTGGTCGACGAGGGAGCGTCGGCCGAGGAGATCCACCGATTCATGGGACATGCTTGTTCCGAATCTTTCGCAAAGCTCGGAGCTAGGGACGTCGCTGTCGCACAAGTCGCGGTCGATGCCCTCCAGCGTTCTGCCAAAGACTGCAAGTGTACATTTGAGTTCCTGTCGAGGGCGGTGCAGTTGATTTGTGCTTGTCCTGAGGCTCAGGACTCGGACCTTCCTCCGCCCAAGCCGGTGCCGGAGAGGCGCGATGTGCTCGTCCTTATCGCCCATGACCCCGTCCCCCTGGCTCCTGGATCGTCCGCGTTGCAATGCAGGCGTTGTTTGGCCGTGGCTCGGTCCCCTGCCAGTGTGAAGACGCGTTTGAAGCCAGGGGCCAAGTGTGACCCGTCGCCCATGCTGCAGGCTCTCGCCCTAGCTGTTGAGCGGCTCGGGTGGCGTGCCCAAGGGGACGGGGAGGCTGCGGGGGGTGCTGCTGCTGCTGCCGACGGGGCGGTGGGGAATGGGACCCTCTTCGAGTGTGATGGCCAGAAGGTCCAGCGCTCGGGGCCATTTTTCCTGTGTTCGTTGTGGGGCCCATGGGGCCGTCGGTTCTCCCAAAGTCGATGCCCTTGGGAAATGTCTGCCCCTCGCGCCCCCCGAACCCCGCCCGCCGCATTGCCAGGGACTGGCTCGTCGACCGGCGGCGATCAGCAACTGGAGCTAAGCTTTGGTTCAATTCGTTGGGTCTCTGTGGCGGGTGATGGTGGTCTGAACTCGCACGCAGCACCACTTACTCTGAAGTCGTGCTTCCCGATTCCCTTTAGCTCAGAGGTGGCTTCGTGCTCGCCTGACTCCACTTTCTATGCGGCGTCCTGCGTCCTGCATCACCCTCCCCCTCCCCCTCCTCCTCCTCCTCCTCCTGCTTCTCCTCCTCCTCCTCCTCCTCCTCCTCCTCCTCCTCCTCCTCGTCCTCGTCCTCCTCCTCCTCGTCCTCCTCCTCCTACTCCTCCTCCTCCTCCCCCTCCTCATCCCCTCCCCCTCCTACCTCCTCCTCCTCCTCTTCCTCCTCTCCTCCTCCTCCTCCTCCTCCTCCTCCTCCCCCTCCTTCCTCCTCCCTCTCCTCCTCCTCCTCCCCTCCTCCTCCTCCTACTACTATCTCATAATCCCCATTACCATCATCTCAATCATCATCATCATCATCATCATCATCATCATCATCATCACATCATCATCACTCATCCACATCATCATCATCATCATCATCATCATCATAATCAATCATCATCTCATCATCATCATCATCATCATCATCACTCATCATCATCATCATCATTCATCATCATCATCATAATCATCGTCATCATCAGATCTCATCAGCAGCAGCATCATCATCAGATCGTTTTCAGCATGATCTCGAGCTCATCAGCATCATCATCATCATCATCATCTTCATCATCATCATCATCATCATAATCAACATCATCATAATCAGCATCATCATTATCAGCAGCATCAGCATCATCATCAGCTGCATCATCACCATCATCATCATCATCAGCAGCAGCATCATCAGCAGCATCATCATCAGCATCATCATCAGCATCATCATCGAAATCATCAGATTCGTCAGAATCATTATTAGCATAATCATAAACATCATCGATATTCGCATCATCCTCAACATCATCAGCATCATCACCATCAGAAACAGTATCAGCATCATCAGCATCATCATCATCATAATCACAATCCGCAACGCCACCAGCATCGTCATCATCATCATCATCATCACCATCATCAGCAGCATCCTCAGCGTTATCGTCAGCATCAGCATCACCACGACCAGCAGCATCAGCAACAACAGCAGCATCAGCATCATCATCAGCATCAGCATCATAATCAGCATCAGCATCATCAGCATCAGCAACAACATCATCATGGTCGTCGTCGTCACCATCATCATTATCATCATCAGCATCACCAGTATCAGCAGTATCATCGTCAGCATCATCATCATCGTCATCGTCATGACCATGATCATAATCATCAGTATGAGCAGCACGATCATCATCAGCATCGGCATCATCATCCTCGTCATCATCATCATCATCATCATCATCATCAGCAGCATCATCACCATCGCCACCATCGTCATCAATATCAGCATCATCGTCATTACCAGCATCAACATCATCATCAGCATCAGCAGCGGCACCAGCATCGTCATCATCATCAGCATCGTCATCCTCATCATCATCATCCTCATCAGCATAGTCATCGTCAGCAGCATCATCATCAATATCAGCATCATCATGTTCATAAGCATCAGCAGCATCAACCTCCTCCTCCTCCTCATCATCAGCGTTGGCATCATCATCAGCATCAGCATCAGCATCATCATCATCCTCATCACCACCATCGTCATCAGCATTCTCATCGCCATCGTCGTCATCATCATCACCAGCATCTTCATCAACATCAAAATCAGCATCATTAGCATCAGTATCAGCATCATCATCAGTATCAACCTCGTCACCGTCATCCTCGTCATAATCATCA